AGCCTATTTATCTAGTTTTCCAACTCAAGAATGAATAGGAAAAACTAAATAAATTTCAGGCTTAATGAGCAATCAAAAGGATCATGAGAATCAATTGAGATAAAAAACGTTTTCATCCATTAAAGGCCAAACGGTTTTGTAATAAGAACAAAAACGTTTTCATCCATTTAAGACCAAACGTTTTTGTCACTAACTCAATCTTTAACTCTCAAATAATTCATCCTTTAAAGAAGATCAACAATAAAATTAATTTGTCCTTCTTTTCAAACTTGGTCAATTAATCAGGCATAGTAGGGACCGTAGATATATTTAATAGAGGCTTCCAATTACGATAATAATTCTCAAATGAACGAATTAACCATATCGCAATAAATTACAAAGTATTCCACTAAAATTCTGTAATTGCACTCCTCAATTTAATTTCGAAATCTACCACTACATCTTATTTAACCCCCCGTGTTAGAATTACCGACACCAATCAATTAAATCAAAATTATCTGAAAATTTAATTTATTGACTAAATTAATCCTTTATTATATTTACTTAACTTATTTCACGTGACGGATCTAAAATCCACCTGCAGGGTTTTCACGTGAAAACTTATAAGTAATCATAAAGGGGTGTCTTCAACTCGGGTCCGAGACACGGTTCTATCAACTAATTATTATTTCACTAATGTAATTTGTCATTATCTAATCTATTAGGAATTTATTGACTCATCAAAAAGTCTCACCTTTTAATAGATTAAAACAATAAAATAAATTACATAGATCATAATAATTATATCAAGATTGAGAGTATAAATACATGTAGTGGACTGGAGAATTTATTTATAAATATTCAGAACATAAACAAATGTCTCTAATTGGTCCGTTCAATACATACAAAATGTACTAGCACAAGAAGTTGAATTTAACCATTCTCATAATTAAGATCAAATTATATTTAATCTTGTGCTACGATCATCAAGATGTTCGTCCTACTTCATCTTTGATCGTGAACATAAATTTATAACTTTATATGCACCAACAATTTAATCTTCCGTGTATGAGTTAAAATACTCCATACACAAAATTGTCTACTATATAAGCAATGGACACACATATATACATAATGATCTATTTAAACAAAAAATTATTATATTAAATAAATAACATAAAAAAAATCTTTACAAGGGATTAAATAAAAAATACTATAACACAATTACATGGTTAATAGTATATCCCAACTACAACGGCCTGCACAAATATGTCTTTCGGGCTGTGCTACAATATCGAGCTCCAAAGCATGCATACCATGTGGATTTGAGTAATGCATTATAACTTCTCACTTTCCTCTTTTATTTTCATGTGAGATTCGCTTAAGATGTCATGTGTACCTCATCTTCAGAAGTTTGTCAGGCTAAAAGTATGTCAGTCTTTCTAGACTCACTCTCATTAGTCTGTCTTCCATCAGAAACGTCACACAAGTATTGTATTGGAGTTCAAACTCATGGACAAAATCATTGAGTTCTCTTATCTATACATTAAACTACTAACTTAAGAATTCTCCTTGAGTTCTTAGCCGTAGAACCATGAAATCGAGGAAAGAGTCATTAAAGTCAAATTTCATAAACAATTCATGGAGTTAAATTTTTATAAATTCAAAACTCCAAGAACAATTCATGTGGTTTAAACTTTTCAAGTATTTGAATTTATATATATTTTGTTCAACTTATAATAATGTTCTTAAACGTTAAATACTTTTGAAAATGACATATTCCTCGTCACTGTTCGAAAAGTGGTTATTTAACATTTTATTAGTTTTACTTGCCCCTCAATTGGGTCATAGACGTCCAATATTAAATGATTAAACCGAATAAAAAAAGAAAAAAAAAACTTTGTGATAATGTTTTTTCTGTTATAATGACAGTTAGTAGACCATAAATTCCCGTTTCAAAAGGCGCAACCTTAGTAATCTCTGTCTATTTCCGCTCCATTAAGTGTTTATCAGATCTCCTTAATTTGTTGTCTAACTGTTCCCATAATGACTATTTCTAAGCTAAACACACAATTATTCTAATCAAAAAGTTGAAATAGTAGATTAATTAATACTTCAAGAATTTGACCTTATTTTGTCTATTGCATATCTATTTTGTTGCAGTTTCAGGTACATTTACTATTTTGTACGAAAAATAATTTTGATCTTATATATAACGTCCTTAGAGTGAAATGGCCAATTTATCGTACTCCAACTTGTAACACTATGTTCGAATTATCGATCAATTTGTATCAATCTCAAGGTTGATCGATCTCCTTTTTATAGGATCTTTGAAGCACTAATTATAATCGACGGATCAATCCAGAGGAACATTGCATAACTTTCTGCTGATTGGAGTTGATTTAGCAGAAATACAGATATTCTTGGCTCCTTATCAGACAATCACTTATTCACAAACTACGTGTGGAATATAAGTTTCATGATATGAAATTTTCGATATCCTACTTACAGGATTAGTAGTTCACAATATTTCTGTTGTGATATTTCGTTGTTTTTGAAGATGGATTTTACAGCAGGAAAGTTATCAAATGAACATAAAGAACAATTTCGATCTGCTTCAGAAAGTGCAGATCCATTAACAGTATCTGCATTACAGATATCACCAAAATCACCGCGCTCTCCCAAATCCCCAAAATCTCCTAAGTCTCCAAGGTCTCCCGGTGATCGTCACAGCAAACATGGCTCAGATAGGGGAAGTCCACTTAAACATAAAAAAAACTCACATTCTCCGCGAGATGGTCGTCCAAAGAAAGGTAAGTTGATAATTTCACAATTGCTTATTACATGCTTGATAATTTTTATTCAGATCATCGCGTTTAAACTATGGTAGACAAATGTTACCTTTTGAAAGGTGTGAATAAAAAATGAACGCGATTAAACTGTGGTAGTCAAATGTTAGGTTTTGAAAGGTATGAATAGAAAATGAAGAATTGTGACTTTTTCAAAGGGTTGTAACATTTCTGATAAGGCATGATAAGGACATGTTCACACTACTCTTTGTTATTTATAAATAGATATAAATAGAGGTTTCCTCTTATCTTATTTTTAAAAAGAACAAAATATCTAAACTTCTTCTTCTTCTGCACAACTAAATCTAGTATTCTAGTGTACTTTGCTTCCATTGAATGATTCGCTAACAACATTGTTTTTGGTACCGATATACTGGTGAGTAAAAACGTTCTATCCTGAGAGGATATATTCCTTTAACCTCGGATACTTGAGGGAAATAATTTCCTTAAGTACAAACTGTACATTCATTGGGCTCGATTTCTTCTTGTCAATATTGTTTATGTTTTTGTTACAGATTCTGTTTTCTTTACTAGTTTTAATTTCTGATTTTGAAAACTTGCTTTAAACTTTGTTGCTTATTATTTCTGCAAAGTTAGAAATCCAAACTGACTTCTAAAACGGAAGTGAGCACAGGTGAGAGGACCCCACTTTCCCGCATCCCTCTCCCCACGAGCAGAACACCAGAGATGCACAGCATGTGGGCCTTGTCTAACGAACGACGTTCTAAGTATTTTACTAATACAGATTGTGGATAACAGACAAACAAGTAACATTGGATTAAGTTGTACTTCTCGTAATGGACTTTTATTTAAAACCTTGTACTCCAGTAAATATTAGATTCTGAACGCATAATTTCAAAAGTACAATGAGCTTAGTCATAGGAACATAAAGATTGAACACCTCCCGCTGTTGATTTTCTTATATAACTCTCTTGCTGCTTCTTTGTCATGTCACTGAAACTGCACATATGAAGATTTTTACTTGATATTTTGATCTATTTTCAACCATCTCTTCGCATAATATTTATGATTATACAGGTGGTTGTGGAGGAAAAGGCACTTGGGGCGGATTGATGGATACCGATGATGTCCATGCTATTGATCCCAATGATCCAAACTACACTAGTAGTGAGGTATTTTAGCTATCATTTTTCAATTTTCCATGAAGGAAGATGAGCCTTGACGTAACTGATAAAGTTGTTGTCATGTGACCAGGAGGTCACGGATTTGAACTGTAGAAACAACCTCCTGCAGAAATGCAGGGTAAGGTTGCGTACAATAGACCCTTGTGGTTCAAGCTTAGTGACACATCAAATTGAGTTAGCCCTCCTTTTTTCCAGGATACGGAGAGAACAAGTACGAAAGACATGGTTGCAGCATTTGAGGAATACAAAAAGAAGGCAATAATATTAGTCGAAGAGTATTTTCAGAATGATGATATAACATCCACAGCAAATGAATTAAGAGAACTTGGGATGTCTTGTTATGACTTCTACTTCATTAAAAAGTTAGTATCAATGGCTATGGATAGGCATGATAAAGAAAAAGAAATGGCAGCTGTTTTATTATCTGCACTATATGCTGAAGTTATCAAACCACAACAAGTCTACAAAGGTTTTAGTAAACTCTTGGAATCTGCTGATGATTTCATTGTAGACATACCAGATGCAATCGACATTCTCGCGTTGTTCATTGCAAGAGCAGTAGTTGATGATATACTCCCTCCTGCATTTTTGGCAAAAGCAAATTCTTCTCTACCTAAAGATTCAAAGGGAATTGAGGTCATAAAAAGAGCTGAAAAGAGTTACCTTTCAGCTCCTTTACATGCTGAAATCATCGAGCGTAGATGGGGTGGGAGTAAGAATAAGACAGTTGAAGATGTGAAGGACAAGATCAACAACTTGCTTATTGAGTATGTTGTAAGTGGAGAGAAGAATGAGGCGTGTAGATGCATTAACGATTTGAATATGCGTTTTTTCCATCATGAAATTGTTAAGAGGGCTATTATCATGGCAATGGAAAAGCAACAAGCCGAAAGTCGCCTTTTGGACTTACTAAAGAAGACTACAGAAGAAGGCTTGATAAATTCAAGTCAATTATCAAAAGGGTTCAATAGGATTATTGACAATATCGACGACTTGTCACTTGATATACCAAATGCAAGGATGATTTTTCAGTCAATAATTTCTAAGGGAGCATCAGAGGGTTGGTTATGTATTTCATCTTTGAAGTCGTTATCGACACAACTAGAAAAACAAGAAATTGATGAAAAACTAGTGAAGGAATTCAAACTGAAAGCTCAATCCATGATCAAAGAGTACTTTTTGTCAGGTGATATTGAAGAAGTAAGTAGGATTCTAGAGTCGGAGAACAGTTCGTGTTTGGCAGAACTAAACGCCATATTCGTTAAGAAGTTAATCACTTTAGCAATGGACAGGAAAAACAGAGAAAAAGAAATGGCTTCTGTTCTGTTATCATCTGTTTGTTTTCCAGCAGATGATGTGGTAAATGGCTTTGTAATGCTAATAGAAGCAGCAGACGATACAGCTTTAGACATTCCAATTGTCGTTGAAGACTTAGCGATGTTTTTGGCTAGAGCAGAAGTAGATGAAGTTTTAACTCCACAACACATGGAAGAGATTGGGAGTCAATTTTTCGAACCGAATTCAATAGGTAACAAAGTTGTACTAATGGCAAAATCTTTGCTAAAAGGTAGATTATCTGGTGAGAGAATACTAAGGTGTTGGGGTGGTGGTGGAAGTAGTACAAACGGATGGGCGATTGAAGATGTTAAGGATAAAATACGAAAATTATTAGAGGAATTTGAATCTGGAGGAGATGCAAAAGAAGCATATAGATGCATAAAGGACTTAGGTATGCCATTTTTTCATCATGAAGTTGTGAAGAAATCATTGGTGATTATAATTGAGAAGAAAAGTGAGCGGTTATGGGGTTTTCTCAAAGAATGTTTTAGTATGGGACTTATAACTATGTATCAAATGACAAAAGGTTTTGCTAGAGTTGCAGAATCACTTGATGATTTGGCTTTAGATGTACCAGATGCTGAAAAACAATTTAAAGTTTATGTTGAAAGGGCTGAGGCTGAAGGATGGTTAGATTCCACTTTTAGTTTCAACAGACTTGGACATAATTCCATGGAAAATGGATTTTGTTGAATCATATTTCTAAGGTACATTCTACTCTTCTTGTAGTTACTTGAGCATGTACTTTTCATGTTGCATCTTACTCTTCAAAAATGCAACAACATTCGTGTCAAACTCTCCGAAAAAAATTGCACTATATTTGGAGGATCTAACACGCCCTTATCGACATTTTTGAAGAGTACGAGGATTTGATATGCACTCATCACTACACCAAAAATGATCTTTAACGTTAACGGCAATTAACCACAATAGCTTAATTACCTCTAAATGTGTCTTTTTAGAAACAATTACTAGTGACAATTGCATTTTAGCACTCTTAGTAAATGTCTTTAAAGCCTATAGGACATTGAGGTCTTAGTGACAATTGCATTTTAGCACTCTTAGTAAATGTCTTTAAAGCCTATAGGACATTGAGGTCTTAGTGACAATTGCATTTTAGCACTCTTAGTAAATGTCTTTAAAGCCTATAGGACATTGAGGTCTTAGTGACAATTGCATTTTAGCACTCTTAGTAAATGTCTTTAAAGCCTATAGGACATTGAGGTCTTAGTGACAATTGCATTTTAGCACTCTTAGTAAATGTCTTTAAAGCCTATAGGACATTGAGGTCTTAGTGACAATTGCATTTTAGCACTCTTAGTAAATGTCTTTAAAGCCTATAGGACATTGAGGTCTTAGTGACAATTGCATTTTAGCACTCTTAGTAAATGTCTTTAAAGCCTATAGGACATTGAGGTCTTAGTGACAATTGCATTTTAGCACTCTTAGTAAATGTCTTTAAAGCCTATAGGACATTGAGGTCTTAGTGACAATTGCATTTTAGCACTCTTAGTAAATGTCTTTAAAGCCTATAGGACATTGAGGTCTTAGTGACAATTGCATTTTAGCACTCTTAGTAAATGTCTTAATGAGATGGGTGGACTCCTTATAAGGCTTGGGCAATCCTCCTCCCTTTGAGCTAGCTTTTGGGGTGTGAGTTAGGCCTAAGACCTAATTTAACACAATTGACTAATGTCGGTAAAGGTTTTAACACTCTTTGTTAATGTGCATATTCAGTGGCGGAGCCACATACACTTGAGGGGTGTCGACTGACACCCCTTCGTCGAAAATTACACTGTGTATCCAGATATGATTTTTTTCGATGTGTATATATATTACATGTTGACACTTCTTGGCTTCTATGCAATTTTGCTTTTTTATATTTTGACACCCCTTGATCAAAATTCTGGCTCCGCCACTGTTCATATTTATTACCATTAAAAACTGTTTTTGTTGTAGTGCGTCCATATATTAAACTTCAAGTGGTTCATATATTTCACTAACTCAAATTTTAGGTTTGTGTTCTCTTTTTTCTTTCCAGGACCATATAGTGTGTAGCAACATCATCCAAATTGTTGTACCAAAATGGATTTCTTTACATGGACAATAGAGAGATTATAAAGGAGGAGGCCACCATGAGTATGTTCTAAATTGAGGAATTGCAGAGATGAAAGCCCACAAAAAGTGCTCAGCAGAAGAGATCAACTTGCATCATCTTTATATAATTATATTATATATATATACATGTCCATGTCCATTTTTGTTCTACTCAGACTCCACTTATGAGACTACACTAAATATGTTGTTGTTGTCATTGATTTTTGTGTTGAGACTAATAAATTGTTTCGTAGTGATTGAGTTGTTACATGTACTATTGAATCTCTTATAGTATAACATTTTACCCTTTTTGTTACCGTTATATTGAGCCAAATATACTGTCTTTTTTCCTTCTTGTATTCCTATGAGAAAAGCTAGATAAAGATCAACTATCTGAATTAGCAAAAGTCATTTTTTGCTTCATCATGTGAAGAGGTGATGCGTAGATGCTCAAGTGAGGAGGTGCGGGAGGTTGGATATAGCGGGTACGAGGAGAGGTACGTAGAGGTAGGACGAAAAAGTATTGGAAAGATGTGATTAGACCGGACATGATGCAGTTTCACATTACCAAGGACATGACATTAGATAGAAGGGTGTGGAGGCCGTATATTAGGGTAAAATGTTAGTAGGTATAGAATATTATCTTGATTTTTGAGGGGTTTTCTTTAGTGTTTTGCCTTTTTATTCCACCATCTTGTTGTTGACTATATTTAGGTTATCGCATTATTTTGTGGTTGTTACTGTTTCCTACTTTCCTTATTAGTTGTGTTATTTCTTCACTGTCGTTTTTCCTTTTTCATTATTCTTATATGTTATACTCGAGCCAAGGATTCTCCGTAAACAATCTACCATAAGTCTCTATATGCCCTCTCTTTTTTTTTAATTTAAACGTACGAATATAAACAAACTTAAATAGATTAAAATAAGTTTATTTTTGGGAAAATGTACAAGTACCCCCAACCTATGCCCGAAATTTCAGAGACTCACTTATACTATATTAAGGTCCTATTACCCCCCGAACTTATTTTATAAATAATTTTCTACCCCTTTTTGGCCTACGTGGCACTATCTTCTGGGCCTAGCGCGTATTGACATTTTTTTCAAGATATCTAGTTGATAGTGCCACGTAGGCCGAAAAGGGGTAAAAAATTATTTATAAAATAAGTTCGAGAGTAATAGGACTTTAGTATAGTTTAAGCGTGTCTCTGAGATTTCAGGCATAGATCGAAGGTACTTATGCATTTTCCCTTTATTTTTTATTAGCCATATATTATTTTATTTTTGCGTACTTGACCCTTGAGGTACCACACGTGGAAATAGTTATAAAGAATTATACCATTCTTATCCCACACACATTTTTCACGTATAAATTATTTATCCAACCTTTCATATAAATGCTCACTTTTATTTTTGAAGAAATTAAAAATAAAAGGAAAATTCTTCTTGGCACTAGTAAATTTATTTCATATAGATGCTTGATTTTATTTTTGAAGAATAACAATGAACAACATCCATGAACTTAAAACATCATAGTTTAAAACAATATATTATATCTTCAACTTTAGACAAGACGATAACTCATGTTGAAATAGGAGTTGAAGGAGATTTAATTCGGTCTGAACCTTTAGGAACATGTTTCGTTATGTCGAATTTGTACAATTTCTTTATATTTGATAGATGTTTGAAAACCAGAGTTGTAGGAGATAAAACTGGATATGAACCTTTAGGAACACGTCTCTTGATATCAAGCTCGCACAACTTCTCTATATTTGATGGATGATTTTTGAAAACTAGAGTTGGGGGAGATTTAATTGGATCTGAACCTTTAGGAACACGTATCTTGATATCAAACTCGTACAACTTCTTTATATTTGATGGATGGTTTTTGAAAACTTGAATTGAAAGAGATTTAATTAGATCTGAACCTTTAGGAACACGTCTTTTGATGTCAAACTCATACAATTTCTTTATATTTGATGGATGTTGTTTGAAAATCGGAGTTTGGGGAGATATATCAATATCGAGAGGCAATGTATCGAAACATTGAGTGATATATCCAAAATCCTTAAATTACAAGGATTTTTTGTAATTTAATATGTATATGATGTAATTAGCTCTTAACACTATTAGATTTGTATAATCTTTACACTTTATTGCCACGTATTAAACTCCAAAAAAGATTTTGTTTTTTCTTTCTCGTGGTATGAATTCGTATTAAATCTCGACTAAATCAAATCGCATGCAGTAGGGACCCTTTAGAGAGTGACCTCCCAATATAATTTTTTTCTAAACCCGAACTCAAATCCGAATCTCTGATTAAGTGCATGTACAACAATATGTTGGTTCAAAAAAGCTTTTAAATTGACGCCTCCACCCCCCTCCTCTCCCCTCCGCCGAATTCTCTCCCTTTTTTCCTCTCTGTCATCGCCGGCCACTTAACGACGATCTCAATCATGGGAGAGATCGAAGAAGCATCCACCGGCGCCGACGAGATGTCTCCACTGTTACCGAACCCGAAAACCGACCCGATTCCGTCAACCCGGACTAAATCTGTTAAGACCAAGGTCCGGGAGATCAAGGTCCATCTGTATAAGCAAGGGAAGGGTCCGATCGACGAATTCACGTCGTCCTTAGGTGGATGGGAACAAGACCAGCTAGAGGTTCGTGATATTATAGACAAATACGGGCTTAAATCGGTCTATGCATTCAAACCGGAGACGGGCCGAGGTGTCCCTATCAGATTCAATCCCCGTAACGGCCGATCGATTCTAACCTATAGAGATGGATCCGAGATCCATATTGATGGAGAACCTAAGGTACAATCATCTCACACAATTCACAATTAAGTATATGGCCTGTTATAATTTGTGCTCCTTATCTGTTGTCCCATAATTTGTTTCTTTTGGACTTTATTGCACTATTGTTTGAGTTAGATGTGATGAAATTCAGCTATATTTTTTAGCAGTGGTGTCAGGGACAGCTTGCCTGCACCTGGTTCTTGCTGCCTCCCACCAATATAGGTATTGGGTAACTCTATCCATCAAGTCTTCCATAGATGGGAAGAAATCACATAGTAGTATTTTTTGACCTCCTGGTTCTCGTTCCACGACTACTAGTCACATCCTTGATGCTACAATTCAGATAGATTTCTTATTCACTTAGTAATAGTTTTGTTAGCGTGATAGTTATATAGGAATATAGGATTATAATCCATATTTTGTCATGCAATAAATAATTAATAAGCAGTCGTTATATAGTCAATAATATGTACTGATTGTTCTATGATTTCTGATTTTTGATATTGCATGAATTGTTGTGTAGGGATTGCCTAGATTAAGTGCATTTTGTGTTTTGTTAATACACATATAACTATCCCCTACTTTATCATAGATAAAGTGATAGATAGATTTTCACATAACTCATGCAGGTATTATCAATACGGGAGTTAAATATTGAAAACCATAACATTGCAATAGTTATGCTGAGCTCTATACCAAAATTTGAATTTTTTTATTAATGTCCCAGTGATTAAATTAGTATTGCAGCAGTTTATGTTGCAAAACAATTGTAAAATTAGTCAGAATTTTATGCTGGTATCGTTTTTTTGCTTATGCAGCCTACCAAACCATACATGTATCTTTAACTCTCTGTGAACTAGGATAGAGTTTGGACAACTTTGAAGATATATGAATTAGGAAAATTTGTCTATTTTGAGACATATGGTAATATTGCATGAACGACACTGAGAGGATGAAATTTGGAAAAACATGATGTACTTTTGGGCAAATTGACATTTGGGATTGACACTAAAGATTGTACCATCAATTTTCTTGGTGATTTAAGTTTGGAGACAAATATAGTGCTTGGATATGATAGATCTTGAGTCTCTCGGAGGAAGTGGATTTGGCAGTAGGTGTAGGAGTTACCTGTATTTTGCACTTTATTTTTTCCAACTGGTGAATTTTGGAAAAGAGTTATTAGTTGAGACTGAAACTTAAATTAATGGTGTGATGGTACTCCTGTGAAGTTTTGCTTACTCTATTACAGCCTGGCTGTGAGTGGGGAAGCTTTTATTTTTTGTCATCTTCACCTGTTTTTGAAAAATGGCATGTCATGTTCATCTTACTTAAACAAGACCAACCTAGAGCTTATTTGAGAAGTGTTGAGATTGGATGGTTATCCACTTTATACAGTGGAATGTCATAAGGATGGTTATCCCTTTCAAGAATGCGGTGAAGTGTCCTTTAAGAAATGTCACAAGGTATGAGTCAGGCTTGATTGTTCGAGCTTGAGAAAGAGTCTCTGACTTGTATGCCTCTATATGAGGGTTTGATATGTCTTGAAGGTCTTTCCTTTTTAATGGATAAAGTTGATGTTTAGAGGGGAAATTAACCTTTAGGGAAATTGATATACCTTATAAGGTTTACCAAGCAAGGAAGTATGGAACGGACGATGCAATATTTCCAATTATACAAGCTGTATGGTCCTTGTTAAAAAAGAAAATTATATGTGACAGCTTTGTGATGTCTTATCTGTGTTAATGAAAAAATAGTTGTTTAATACTCACCTGTTTTCAATGGAAAAAGAATGATGTAGGCAGGAAATTAGCAACAACAACTGCGCCGCAGGCGAAACAAGTTCTGGGATATTAACAGCCTGGGGAAATGTATTTTCTCTCTAGGCTTAGCAGACAAAACATATGTATCAATTAGACTATGAATTCCCACACCTTCTGATTTATGTTCATATGCAGTCTACTTTGTATTTTTTGTAGAAGGCTCAATAGTTGTTCATTGATTAGTCATTTGAATGGATAAGCTTATATTTTCAAGGTGTCATCTAGTTCTTTCTATCTTTTAAAAAGCTATTCCTCAGGCAATTTCCAATTTTTTTTAGTGAGCTTTTTGTGATCAGAGCCTTCACAATACTTAATTTTAACATCAGAACTGAAACTGAGTATCTCTGGAAAGGAATCAGAAACTGCCTAGTTGAGGAAGGTTTATGTGCTGAGTTTTGCAGTTTGGCATTTCAATGTCGAAAATTGCAATACCAAAATAGTTGGGCTCTTTGTGTCAATTTGATCGTTCTGTAAACATGAGTAGAAACATGATCTGCAGTTACCCAGTTATATCTTGAATTGTTTGCAAGAGGTTTTCTTGAAATGCAATGTGAACTTTGAACCTTGTTGAACACTTCCCTGAAACTGTTGAAAGGATATCAAATTATGTTACTGCTGGTTCTCCTGAGCGCTTTCATTTGAATAAAAAATTGGCAAACAGGGAGAGCTTATTTTAAGATAAAGAAATTCTTCTATGAATCCCTTATCAGGGAAAAAAATCCATGTTAAGATAAATAAGGTCCACTTTGGCAGGCCCTAACCATGAGAGCATGAAAGGGAACTGCTTTGCACTCTCCATAGTTAACTGAGATTAAATTGTCCTTTCTATATAAGCAAGTTGCATTTCTCAGTCCAAGAAAGCTGAACTAGATGTGAAAATGTCATAAAATGACTTTACCAAGGCATTCTTGTCACTAAAATGACCATACTTCACATGGTTCTTCACAAAATAGGTTGTTCTATGCATAGATGTGATTCTAATAGTTTGTCGTCTGTTTATAGGACTCGTTGATCCAACCTATTACCAGGATATTGGTTGGTGTTGCAGTGATCACCATATTGATAGTAATGGTGATGAAAGAATCTCCAGAATGGGCCAAAAAGTTGAACATCACTGGTGGTAATATCCCACCATGGGTCCTGGCTGCTGCGGTTATTCTGTTCACACGCATAAGGAAGAGGACTAAGGATTTCTTTGGAAAACGCCCGTGATGAACTGGTGCTTAACCACAGGCAACTGAATTTTCTCAAAAATTTTGCATGTTTTGTTTGTGCTTTATACTATAGTTTTTGGATTCACATGTTATATATAAGCTAATCTAATCTTATAATCCAGTCGTGTGCATGCCTTTCCTCCTTTTATTTCTTGGAGAATTTTTAGTTATCACCGTGAATGGTCTGGCAATGACTGGATTCTAGATTGCTTTCTTGACGATGTTATACTAAGAAACACGCATTCTCACTGTTGAGAATATCAGTAAATAATAATAGTGTGCTCTCTCTAACAGCTTAAACTTTTAGATGAGATAGTCACACACTTCAACATGGTATCAACAGAGGTCCTGAGATCGAATCTCATCACCACCCAAAATTATAAAAGAATTTTCACGTGCTTCGCCCATGAGTGAGATGTATGAAAATAACACCTTGTCTCAAGCATGGGAAGATTTCTGGTCCGGGAACTCATTGAAGTTTGAAGAGTTGCATCTCTTTAGAAAAGATAAAAGAAGTTGTAATGTTAGGAACTTCTGGTCTTCCAAGGGTTCGTTCTTTTGAGACAACCAAACAAAAATGTTTTTCCCATCTCTCTATTGAGATACTATAAATACCTAAGGTGATATTTATTTTAAGACGGAAAGAGTATAAAATTCTTGAGAAGAGCAATATGTAACTCAAGTAGAGGGAGCGTATAAATTGTTTTTGCTTTGAGCCGAGAGTCTATCAGAAATAATTGTTTTATCTCACCATGAGGTAAAAGTAAAGTTTGTGCACACTCTACCCTTTTCAAAATCCGACTAATATGTTGATGTTGTTGTAAAGTAGAGGATATCATTTGTGAACTTTCCTTTACAGTTGGGTTTCATTCACTATCATGGAATCTTGAAAAAATGTGTTGTAAACACCATTAATGTTTTCTTAATTACGTAAACACAAACACACCATGTTTTAAAACAAATGAAAAGGCTAAAATACCACTTATTTTGAAACTGAAATAATAATACTCTGTTAAAATCTTCCTCATATTGTATATGCCCCAAGTAGGGGTGTACACGACCGAGTTGGTTCGGGTTTTCCAAATATCAAACCAAACCATTTATGTAAAAAATTTAAATTTATAAATCAAACCAAACTAATAAAATTCGGATTTTTTCAGGTTTTTCAACCTCCGGTTGGTTTGGATTTTTCAAATACCAAACCAAACCATTGTGTCGAATTTTTAAATTTATAAATCAAACAAAACTAATAAACCTCGGATTTTTTTAGATTTTTGAATTTTTTCGGTAAAGTTTGCATACAAACATATAATTAACTTGTGCTCCAAATATTTCTTTAGTCCAACCAAAATACAATTATTAAGGTGTTTCTTAAAAAAAAAACACAAAATATGAGAAGAGTTCTGATGACCCAAAAATATTCAATAAAAAATAATAATGAAATCATCATATAAAATAAATATTGTAAAGTCAATAATAAAAGATAAAAACTATGAAATAGTATAAGAAATATTTTAAAATTATAATCAAAGTAAATATTTTTATGTATAAAATAAAATTTTAAAATTACATATATAATGTCGAGTTGGTTTGGTCTCGGGTTGGTTTTTTTTAGTAAAAACCAAACCAACCCAAATATATTCGGGTTTTTTTTCCAATACCAAACCAAGTCAAAGCAAACCACCAGTCGGATTTTTTTTTCGATTTGACTCAATTTGCGGTTTGGCTCAATTTTCGATTCAGTTTTGTACACTCCTGGCCCCAAGTATTCTATTTTGACTCACAATCTCAAAGTTTGACTAGTCTGCTGATTGAATTTCTTGCTGAATTTGTATCGCCAACACTGTGGATGTGTTCCGTATGATGGAAAATATATTTTAGGAGAAAAAGTGAGTTATTTTCTTATCTTTTTGTGTTTGATAAGAAAAGAAAAAAATAAATTGCTCTAAATGCATTTGTATATAACTAAACAACTACTATTTTTAAGGGTGGAGATGGTGGGTCGTGGGGATGTGGGGCTATGTGGGTGGGGGTTAAAGGTTAGGTGTATTTGGTACGGAGACAATAAGTAAAAATTCACTTATTTTTTAAGAAAATATTTTTCGTAGAAAACATTTTTCTTCATATCAAACATACCTATTATTGAAAGGTGTGGAGAACAATATCAATGTACAATATCATTTGTATAACTTGTTTTCCATACTATCATTAGAAAAATATTTTCTAAATTTTGATCAACCGAACACACCAATATATCTTTCAATTATCATTTATCATTTAATATTTCAGAACATTTCATCAACTTTCTTTAAACTTTCAAACCGCGTTATTAATTTTGTTTACTTATTTTCTTGCACGTCCATTAGTTACAATCAATCAATCAATAATTTAATTTTAAGACTTCTTCTTTCAAAAGTGGTGAATTATTTCTTTTGACCAAGGCCTTATGTAAAATAAAGAGCAACTTTCACATATAGCAAACAAAAAAAATCATATTTGTATGCTATAGCAAAGTTTGAATAATTGTGCTCCATAGCAAACATATATATGTATAATTTGCTATACATATACAATTGAAAGCTATGTCTATTTCACTATACATATATACAAAAAGAAGCAATTGTATAATTCGTTGGCCCCTCTTCAGATTTGTATAATTTCGCTGGCAGGCCATTTGTATAAATTGTTGTTAGCCTCTCGTTTGTATAAATCGTTGACAAAAATATTTGTATATCAAAAATCGCTCTCTCTTTCGCTTTATACAAACATAAATTATACATTATATTTGTATAATTTGTGTTTGTATAAAACGAGAAAGAGAGAAAGGCAAAAGAGAACTGGGCAGGGGAATATTTTTATTGTATAATTATAAGTGTATAGGACGAATATATATGTATTTGCATGTGTATATACAATTTTCTCTCGCTTTATACAAGCAGAAACACAATTTATACACAATTTTGTTGTATAAAGCGAGAGAGGCGAGCACAGAGGGAGCGAGCGAGAAAGGGAGAGTGGCAAGCAAGAATTTGGAGGGAGAGAGCCGACTGGCAAACATTTGCTACGGGGCACAATTAAATCAAACAGTAGCTACTCCATTTATTTTAGATTATAAGTCTGTCATTTTGTACAATTATCCCATGAGCCTAAAAATCTGCAATCGAGGAATAAAATCCCTTCTCCGTTGAAATCGTCTTAATTACTCAGAATATTTTCACCGGAAAATAATACCAAAAAAAAAAAACATTCCACCCTACTCATAATCAGATAAATAATAGCGTATTAGCGATACATTATTTAAATTGTAACGGGTCATAAGAAATCATTTTCACAATTTGTTACATTTGGGTTTTGGACTTTGTCTATTTGTATATAGATTTTCAAATGCCCCATTACTTGTAAAGGGTCGGAACTAGAGTCTAATTGTTTGATCATAAATTCTCAATATTTTTCACTTTCGCGGGAGTTTATGAAGTTGAATTGAAAATAAAGTTGGAAAACAGGTTTAAATCACTTTTCTAATTTCAAAAACTTTATAACTAAACACTGATTTTGAAATAAATTATAAAATACTCAAGAGAAAAAAAGTAAAAAATTCTCATAATCAAACAGTGCGTTGTTATCATGATTCATGAGCATATAATAGACACAATGATGAAAATATGACACCATCATGACCTATTATTATTAGATTATATATGTTGGATTTTAAAGATAGTGTAGTGTGAATCGGAAAGTAGTAAAAATTGAAATGGATTAGAAAATTAAAATTTAACAAAGTTTATTTTTATAAAGACACTTCAATTTGTTCCTTATTGATAAGGGGAAGTAAGACTAATGTGGTAAATTGCTAATATATACAAATACTTTTTCTAGTTATTAAAAAGTTAGAATCTCCTCGTGTTGTTATCGTCACAAAAGCTAAATTTTCCAAGAACTATTCTAAACACATGTAATAACAGTACTATTGTTGAAACAAATAGACAAGAACAAAAGTTAAAACTTTGTTTAGATGATTGTTACGTATTGTTTCAAAATGTATTGTATTATATTGTATTGTTTTAATGAATACAACATTTGAATAGATTGTATCGTTTCCCGTCATTATGTAATGTTACACATCCATAATTTGAATGGTACAATCTATAAGAAATTGTAGGGTACGAGGTATAGAGCTACTATTAAAAAGTAGTATAAATGTTAATATAGAATTAATAAATAATAAGTAAAGATAAAATGAGAAGAAAATATTAAGGTAACGACACGATCAAACCAAATTAGTCGTTACACGAAATGAGTCTTTTCGTCATTACCTAATGATGGATTTAAACGATATGATACAATAAAATTTAAGTAACAATCAAAACAAACATTGTATTTAAACTAATAATACAATACAGCACAACAGGTGACAACCTTCAAATAAGGTGTTAAAGTCTAATAGCCATATGTTCACATACTGTAGCTAATGTCAATTAATTAATTTGCTCATATATATCTTTGATTATTCCTTGTCAACCACGTCTATAAATTAACCCATCTCATACGTGAAATTGCTTATTTCAAAGAATTTATTTTCCATGTGATACGTTATAGAGAAAATTTCATATATAGCGATAGTTATGCCCCTTATGACGAAAAATAGCGATAGTTCGTGTATTTATTTAACATAGTAATAGTTAATTTAGAAATATAATGGAATATATTGTATAATTCGTGCGCAAGAGAAATACATTGTATCTATATGACACTTATATTTTATGAGATACACATGAATCATCACAAGAAACACCACATCCACCAGGAAAAAAAATCACTTGTATACCACTGTATTTTATGAGATACATTTGTATTTCAAATTTTAAATAAGAAGATGTGTATATTATGTGTATTTTCTACTAAATTCAAATTATCATTATAATTTTTGAATTTTTTTAAAAGTAACATTATATTATTTCGAGTAAATACAGGGGCATATATGCAAGAATGGGTCACCGAGTTCACGTGAACTCATGCTCTCCTCCCAAAATCATATATAGTAGATGTGTGAATCCACACTCGAAGAATCATATAGTGCAATGATGATTGGATGAAATTCTCTAAGTGAAGTTAGAATCTTGTTTTATTTTTCTTTCTAAAATTGGTGAC